AGGACATATGAGAACCTGTACTGTAACATCACGCAACTCAGTTGTGTCCCATATTTTCTGACCAAGGAAATTATGGAGCCAAAAAGGAAAGTGATCAATGATGTGGAGTGTGCCTAGGGAGAGTAACATGGAGAGAGAACATTCTCTCCGGCTTTCACAGAGAGCACACTGGCCAAGCAATGGCCGTGACTCATCCACATGGCTGACACTGACAAAGGTTCTACAATCTGAGGTATAGGATCTCAGCATAAATCCTGAGGGGATTTCACTGACCTTATCAGATCCAAAAGCTACAACTCCTGTTATATAGGTCTTGCTTTATCTTGGTATCTTGGTCTTAACTATCCAGAAGAAAAGTATAAAAACGAAGTATAAGAAGTAAAGCCATGTTGTTATGTTGAGCTGTAGGGGACTCAGGTCAACAACTTTTGACATTGCCAGCCAAGTGGAAGACCCAATACTATTATGGACTACTGGACTATTTTGGAATATTTTGCTGAGTTCACACACCTATAATATTTAAATGATGGAACTAAATAAAAAAAGGGGATATAGATGAATGACCATTTTGTATCTGTGTATTCAAAATGGTTAGGGTAGATATATAGTTACATTCTCTTAGGGATTTGTTCTAATAGTGTTTGTAAATAGGATATCATGTCTGTATCTTGTACAATGAATAACTACTAGGAAGGCAGTATGCAATGTGTTAATTATTGGAACTGTCCTACCAATTTGATTTGAAACTGTCTCATTGCTATTTATTTCTCAGTAAGATTATGGAACAAAAAGAATTGTGACCCTCTAACATAATGCTCAGAAGAAAATCTAAAGCCTCCTATGGATAACAAGTGTTTCCATGGTTTGGCTTTCTGTCACAGCTCTCTGACATTGCTTCAGGATTTTCTAATTTCTTATCAAATTTACTCTTCCCAGGGATCGTTACCTAAATGACTGAAAAGCAAGTAAAAAAAGGCACCCTTGTTCTCAACACCTACTAATCACATTGCATATAATAAGGCAGGCTTCAGAGAGGTGAGTAGTGAAAACTCAATCTTCCTTCAGTGGGGTTTGGATTGCTCTCTTATGTGGATTAACAAGTTCAGGCTGATGGGCAGTTACATTGGCTATCCCTTTCCCCAAAGGGGAGAGGGGAACAAAGCAGGCCTAATTAGTTTCCTTTCAACAAATCACTCCCATTGGCTCAGCCACAGGGCAGTGCAATGACTCTACAACCCAGGTAGGATTTTTCCTTTCCTTCCATGCTGTTTTTTCCAGAGGACATCTGTCTCTCCAAAGCATGAGTCCTTTGGGACTCTCATCTCACTCTCAAAAAGATACAGTCTCAAAACACATAGGCAATCTTAAAAGTGTGAATTATTTTAAAGAGAGCATTCATTTGTGTAATTTTTTTCATCAAGACTATTTCTGGTAAGCAGAAGACTTTTTAAAAAACTGATTTGGTTGGTAAAGGTTTTAATATTGCCCAACATAATGCTGTAGTAGCATTTAAAAAAGTATTTGTGAACTCTTTTGTTTCTTAGGGGCTTGTACATCTCTCTGCTATGGACATATAAAATTAATGTAATTATACTCAGCTCAACTGCTACAGTTATGTCTAGGCAGTGGCTTGGGTTTTTATCGAGCAACAACTTAGACATGTGACTGTAATATGCTGCAACTGTGTGTACTGAAAATATGTGAAAATGGTTGAATGTGGACTGTGTATATATGTATGTAAACATTTCTGTGAGATGCTGCTGTCGCCACTTAACATGGAAAGTGTTCTAGTGGATTTTAATCCTAGTGGCCAGTTCTATGATACTGTATGCATTGTACAGCTGATGACAGGAGTAAGACTGTTTAGTGAATATTTGTTTAAATTTTATTGTTGTGGCCAGAGATAATTTCAGAATAAAAATTTAATGTCCTAAAAAATCAAACAAACAAACAAAAAAAAAAAACACATAGGCAGAGCTGGGAATATAGTTCAGTGGCATAAGCACCTGCCTGGCACATGCAAGGTCTTGAGTTCAATCCTTGGTACCAAAAAGAAAACACAAAATACCCACAGAGGCATACAGTTTTTATAGGTTATAATCTAATGGATTATTGATTGGCAGGGCCAGAGAAAAGTTGGATTGGATGTTAGCATGGTGATACAACAGTACCCCCATCCTCTCCATTCTCACTCTGTGCTGCACACTCTATGTACAAACAGGCACTGAAAAATGAATTTTATACACAGTTCTTACAGCTCTGTAAAGAGGGACCAAGTGGTATGAGGTTACAGGATAACTCTAGAATGTGACAGACCTGAATAATCGCAGCAGAACCACTAATAAGATAGATGATGTGACCACATAGACAGCTTTTTGAGCCTTGATGTTGTCATCTCTAAAACAAAGCTGACCCTATTTGTCATCCAGGATTAATATCACAGAATCATAACTCTTGAAAATGTGTCCATTTGTTTTTTAGTATGAAATTAAGTCATGATGTTTCTGCTGTTAAGTGAAGGGCACTGTTCCATGTGAAAAGAGCACCAGGTACTGGTGAGAAGACAGAGGAGAAGGAGGGAGAAATGAGACCTGGACAGAAACCAAATTCACTAGCCACTCTCAGAGGCTTGAACAGGAAGATGGCAAGTTTGAGGCTGCCTGGGCTACCTAGTGATTTCATGAGACCCTGTCTCAAAATAAATAATCTAAAAAAGGAATAGAGATATGGTAGTATAACAGCCTTAGTTCAATCCCCATTATTTCAAAACAAAACAACAATAAAATGATAGGTGCTTCATGGGCTATAACCAAGGCCGGTATTATCTAGGAGCCTAAAGGGGCTGAGCTAGGTCGGGGCTGAGCTAGGTCAGGGCTGCAGGTGGCTTTGGGGCTACCCTTCCTGACTGAGTCTAAATCAAAGGATAGTCTAGAGGCAGGCACACCAAAGCTATGGGATGGTTCTACTTCAGTATCACAAGCCCCATGCTCAGCAAAAAGGAGATGCAGACAGATGTGCTCTCCCATCTTTTGCTCCTCATAGACTGGAGAGGCAGCCAGGGTACCTGGCCACTCCCATACTTCAGATCTGTGCTATATTTTGTCCATCAGAAGATATATTAGGGACTGCATCTGTGTGTGCACAATGTCTTCATTGGCTATGAGGCCTTAAAATATGACAGAATCTACACAATATGAAACAATTTTTACTGTTTTGAAGTGAGTATATTCATAGTATTTGTGTGGTCATTACCATATATAGCCTCAGAACTCATTTTGCAGAACTGAAACTTTGTACCTATAAAGTGCTATCTCATTCATCCTCCCCTCAGCTCCTGACAGCCACCATTCTATTTCATCTCTATGAATTTGGTACTCTGGCCTTAAGTGGTACTTCATTTTGGAACTCTAGATTTATTTTTCTTTTGTGAGTGGCTTATCTTATTTATCTGACTGTCCTCAAGGTTACTCCACACTGTACCATGTGTCAAAATTTCTTTCCTTTTAAAGGCTGAGAGATACTCCAATGTATGTATATACCACATTTTGTTCATCCAGTTGATGCACATTTGGATTGCATCCTCTTTTTGGCTATTCTGAACAATGCTGTTGCAAACATGGGTACACATGCTATTGCAAACATGGGTATATAGAGACCTTATTTCAGTCTCTGATTTCACTTTTATGGGAGCCATACCAAGTGAACTTGTTAGGCATTATAGTAATTCTACTTTTAATTCTTTGAGGAATCTTCATATTGTTTTCCATTGGGGCTGCACTGTTTTACACTCTCAATAGTGCACAAGGGTTCCATATAAGGTTTGGGGCCAAACCACCCTCATTCCCTAGATCCAGGTCACTCTAGATATCACTTTTTGGCACCTTATGGCCTCTTTCTTTTTAGCATGTTCTTGCAGCTGCCCTAAAGATGAAGTAATGTTCCACGGCTTTCTGTCTTCACTTGGTTCTTGGTAGACCCTGTCCTTCTGAACATACAGGACAATCCTGTCTGGGAACAGTCAGTTGTCTTGGTGGGGGCTGAATCACTGCATGATGTTCAGAGTGATACCCATGGTGAGGGCTGCCTGTGCAGTGAAACTGCAGCCAATCTTGGCTAAAGCTGCGATATGGTAAGCTATAGCTTTAGCCTTTTTGCTACTTGAGTAACTCACCCCTCTGTCCCAAACAGATATTCTCCTTAACTTTAGCCTTAAGAATTTTATTCTCTGCTACAAGTGATCACATTTTCCAATATAACTGGAGATAATTATTTCATCTTAAAGACAGAGATTTTCAGGATCCTTTTTGGAAAACTCTCCAATAAAGAAATATAGAGTTGGAATTAAATGTTTGAGGTAGAAACTCTGAGAAGAAAGTATGTCAATATACCATTACACAAATGATCAATGCCTCTCATACTGTAACTTTGCACAGATTAGAAAATAGTGCTCTTTTTTGGATCACATGTGAAGTACAGATGAAAGACTGAATAGGTGTAAAGCACAGACTAAATATTGTACAAGTGACTCTAAAGTGCATGTTCTGAGCACCTCCCACCCTATGGATGCATGGTCAGCAATCAGATGCCATGTTTTCCTGCAGGTCCAGGAAACTATATGGCTTTGCAAGTGAGCTGGTATGATTTTCAGCCCCCTCTCACCAGCAGTGACAGTCATAAGCAGTAGCCATGTGTTGATTGTTTTAATAATGTTATCATCCCAATAGCACTACTTTATGTACAGAATATTTTTAGATCATGCTGACAGGAAGGTTTTCTTCAAAGACCATGAACTCGGGTCTATTTGCCATCTACCTGGTGAGTCAAGAGAACACAATGAAAAATAAATAAATAAATAAATAAATAAATAAATAAGAGAAGACAATGACCTCCTTGTACCAGGCCCAGTACCTAGGCTATCAACCCAAAATATTGCACTAAACATCAAAGCCACTATCCTTGTCTTCCTCACCAGATGACATAGCATGCACACTCAGTCTCACCTGAGCCACCTCTTCAAAGTCATCATGCCTCTTCTGCAGGGCTCGAGCTCGGTGCAGGGATTTCCCAACCCCAGTATGTTTGCTGAGAAAGGCCTCACCATGGTTTTCAATCCAGTCCAACACCTGTCCAAAGAAGAAAGAAACAATGACTTCAAAAGAAGGAAAGACAGGTGACAACACATGCGACTTCTATAGTCCTATCCAGCTCTCAGTCCCTACCAGAGAGCAGCAGTTCTTGTGGAAATGTTTAAACCACTGTGAATGAAGGCATTTCAGAATAGTTGCTGGCAATATAATAGTGCTACCCCTAACTAAATTCAACCACATCTCTTTAATTGCTAGAACATTCTCTCATTTCTTTCACTTTTCTTAGACTTAGTCTTTTATTCTATCTATTTTATTTTTTGTTCTGGAGATTAAACCAGGGCCTCACATGTGCTAAATTGTTAAACAAGCATACTGACTGAACTTTATGACTTTCCCCTCTAATTATAGAAATTTAAATAATATATTACCATGAAAAATATTTCTAATAAATAAAACATACAAGCATACTGACTATTAGACACAGTTCAACCCTCTCACTGCTCCTACTACAACTATGTAATGTCAAATACATTGGCAGGAAATATGGTAGAGACAGTGTGGGCATTATTTTGGCTCTCATCACTCATCTGTTACTCTACCACAAAAATGCTCACCAAAATGGTGACTAGTCATGGAGATCCTATCTCACAATGTTTCTAGAATTCTTTTCTTTCCTAACCTTGAAAATAAAGGACATAACAGTCAATCTCAGACTAGATATTGAAAGTAGCTGATCTCAAGGACAACATCTTCCAGCTTCTTTCTATTTTCTCTAGCCAATGACTATAACAAACTAATTGATCAACTAAATAAATTAAGGTCTTTTCATACTAAGGTCTTTCATATCTTGATTCTCTTAGGAAGTAGTGGAGACTCCATTCTTCTAGGCTTCAAAATCTAGTGATTTGGCTCAAAGAGATTTTCCTTGATGTTTAGAGATGTTTGAACAGAGGTGGCTGGGACAGTAGCGGGACAGGTGAAGATATGCTGAAAAGGTGGACTTGGGAGGGGGCATGGAATCTCCTTTGTAAGAGCCTTGAAATGTGGAGAGGACCAAAGCCTTTAACAACCATTTTGTGTTCTTGTAGATAGCCTCACAAAAATGTGTAAATTACAGGGAAACAGGAAGCAGTTCATTTTCTGGTCTCTGAAAATTGGCACTCAGTAACTACGGTGATTACAATTAAAGCAGAATTCAGTATACAAACACCTGTCATGAACATGCTCATATTCAACTGAGTCCATTCACTCCTGCTTACATGAGTCATTAACTAAGTCTTTGATTAATGATGTAATAGCCTTCTCAGATTTTAGATTTGTTTCCAAAGTGACTTAGATGAACTATGAGAACTTGTACTGTAATGTCATGTACCTCGGTAGTGTCCCAGATTTTCTGATCAAGAAGGTTATGGGGCCAAAGAGGAAACTGATCGATGACGTGGAGTGTGCCTAAGGAGAGTCACATGAGGAGAAGACACTCTCTC